TTCCTTGAATATTTGTTTTTCTTTTTTCATATTGCGTACAACATTCTTCTATAATTATTCATGCAAAATAAAGTTAAAAATATGGAGGAAACATGATAATTTATATGTTTTTATGAGAGAAATTATGTGGTTAACATCTGGTAAAATGCACTTATCAGTGTCATTCTTACCGGTATTGTTAGTAGTATTCATGTATTTCTTATTTTTAGATCTTTGTTATTACAAATAGTGTCTTTATATTTTTTCTTGTGTTGTTATTGTTGGTTGCTTCATGTTTAGTATTTCTTAAGCCGATGGTCTATCGGAAACAACCTCTCTACCTTTACAAGGTAGGGGTAAGGCCTGCGTATACAGTATCATCCCCTGACCTCACTTGTAGGATTACACTAGGTTTATTATTGTTGTTGTTGTTGTAGTTTTTACTCTTTACGTCTCATTTTATTTGATTGGACGAGTTTAAGAGAAAAAGAAATATTTTAAAACTTGTGGTCTAAAACAAGTTTAATTAAAAATTTGTATAGTTATACATCATCTCATTGAGAGTAAATGAAAAGTTTAAAGTTAAATGTATTTCCAAATAGACGAAATGGCCTCCTGGCCACTTAAACTTGCATGGCTTTTGAAAGCCGATACACCAACTTACAAGTTTCCCATTTGAACACTCAAACTAGTGATACCCTTTACTAATAAACACGTTGGACCCTTGACCATCCGCGCGTGTATCACACTTCTGCTAACGTGTCGGCCCAGTCAGCACTGAGCCAATTAAAACATTACACGTCAGACACCCAACCCTTTTACCATTCCCGTTTGCCTTTCTCTCTCTATCAGTGGAAATTCAAAATCAAGACTCCATTTTTACTCTACAGTTGAGCTTTGTAGTGCTCATTCATAAAAAACCCAAATCAAGAATCCATTTTTAACTCTGCAGTTGAGCATTTTAGAGCTCATTCATCAATAAAAATGCCAACTTTAGTGAAAATCAAAAACTTCTTTTGGCTGTAGAGTTGAACAAGAATAATTAAGTGGAAATGTTGTCAATTTCAATGGGAATCAAGAACCCATTTATTTTCCAAAATGCTTCAAAAGGTAGCACTTCATCTCCCAAAAACATCACCCAAAATTAGTCAAAAATAACTCTAAAATTGTCCCCAAAATCACTGAAAAATGCAGCAATAATAGCCCTTTTTTCCACCCAATCTAATTGGTAGCAGCTAGCTTATAAGATTTTAGTGCTCCGGCTGCAGTTACAGGGACATCAATTACTAACCCACAGCCTCCAAATCTATTACTAACCCAACATCAATGCGGTGTAAAATCGCATAGAAAGGCTTACCCGAGTTTCTACAATGAACCAAAATAGGATTAAGCAAACTAAGTTCTCCAAAGCTAGCTGCTTTTTCAAGCACGGAAGCACCTGATGATCGAAAAAGTGTCCTGACATCAGTTCCAAAGGTCAAAGCCTCTTGTTGTTCGATGCTCGGAACACAGGAACAGCATGAGGTATCAAGTCCAACATTTCTAATCTTTTCTTTGTTTCAGTAACAAGAAAACATCAATATTGAAAGATGGAGTTCCTCAATTCTCCTATGTTAGTACTTAGTACCCTAATCAAATAACACATGCTTCGTCAGACAGCATGAGGGGAAAATAGAAGGGAAGGAGAAAGGTCTCTTTTTTCTTTTCTTTTTTTCTTTTTTAATAAAAATAATAACTGTCCACGCGCCTTTGTAGCGTGATATGCACACAATTTAGCCATGTCAGCTGGGCCGCTTCCACATAGGCATAGTCAACGGTCAAATGTGTTTATTAGTTTTTGTTGCATTAAGTTGGAGTGTTCAAATGGGAAACTTGTAAGTTGGTGTATCAGCTTTCAAAAGTCATGCAAGTTTAAGTGGCAAGGAAGCCATTTCGCCTTAAGAATACTACATGATATATCATCTTATCAACTTTTTGAAATCTCAAATTTTATGGACTTCAGCAACATGCACTTTGTTTCATCTTTAATTTAGGTTTCATGTTATGTTTCACAAAAGTCAAGACTCCCTTTTAATAATCGTAAAGATGGCAAACGAGGCAGCATTTGGCAAACTACCATGAACATATAACATGGTATATAGCAAGGTGCATGATTATAGAAATAATTGTTTTTAAAAAATAATTCAATGTTGATATTACCATAAATATTACTACTTCTTTTAATTCTTCAACTATATAGAATTTGAACGATATGCTGACAATATTAAAGAATATTAATAATATCGAATTGTGGTTTACTTGCTTGTGCAAATTAAAGATAATATCACTTTAACAAAAGAATATTAATCATGTCGAATTTTTTTTGGTATATATATGGGCATGACCACAAACCAGTCCAGTGTAAGAACACACACACACACACACACACACACACATATATATATATATATATATATATATATATACACACACACCATGTTATATAATGCTACATNCAAGAAAATATCAATATTGAAAGATGGAGTTCCTCAATTCTCCTATGTTAGTACTTAGTACCCTAATCAAATAACACATGCTTCGTCAGACAGCATGAGGGGAAAATAGAAGGGAAGGAGAAAGGTCTCTTTTTTCTTTTCTTTTTTTCTTTTTTAATAAAAATAATAACTGTCCACGCGCCTTTGTAGCGTGATATGCACACAATTTAGCCATGTCAGCTGGGCCAATTCCACATAGGCATAGTCAACGGTCAAATGTGTTTATTAGTTTTTGTTGCATCAAGTTGGAGTGTTCAAATGGAAAACTTGTAAGTTGGTGTATCGGCTTTCAAAAGCCATGCAAGTTTAAGTGGCCAGGAAGCCATTTGGCCTTCCAAATATAAAAAAAGTGTCACTAGTTTTAGCAAAAAAAAAGTGTGCTACTTAAAATAGGAGATCGAAAATATTAGTATTTTGTTTAGTGTATTTGCAATTTTAGTTTTATTTATCATTCTTATCAACCACAAAGGCAAAAACTACTTGAATAAGTTGAATAAATGCGATAGGATTAAATTCATATTCGTCGAAGTATGTACGTATGAAAAGACACAAGAAGAAAGTATCATCACTAGATACCAATTGCAACATTTAGCTTTTTTAGAACATGAGTGCTAACAAATAATATTAGATCAATTCTAACAAATATATACATAAACTACTTAGTTTGACAGTTTATAAATTCACCCCTGCCCTAGATCAAACATGATTTTCGGATATGAGATTCATTTCTTTATTTTATTAAGTACTAACTTTATTGCAAGAACTTAAAAAAAGAAAAACTGCCCACATATTCCGCGGAGAGAAAAGAGATACTCCCGCATATTTAGGAGTAGCAAGTGCTGTCCCTAGAAATTAGAGTTAGTACGCTGTCAGTCTACTCTTCACTCTACATTGAAATCAACGGGCAGAATACTTTTCTTCCCAAATTCGTTGCTGAAAATAATAGACACACATTTGGGGATACTCATCTTCGGGTTGGGATCCGGTCCAATGATTTTTGCTCCAGTATTGTTCGGTGATTGTGCCAATAACATCTAAAGTCTATAACTCACTTTCATAGAAAACTCAAACTAATCTCCGTCAATTCCTCTTTCTTCCTCCGATTATTTCTCGTATTCTGATTCTTATAGTGAAGCAGATTCAGCAGCTGGACAGAATTATTCCTTCATTTATTCTCTTTATCCTCCTTATATACCTTAGAACTAACCGTAACTATTTTTGGTTTCAGAGAAAACAATGATAAAAACCTATGGCTAGCTCGTCGGGATTAAAAAGTGGCAATTTTCCAAGGTTGAATTCGTCTCAGACATCCAACCCATAAATAGCATCAAAATCTTTTTTGAAATTTCAAATTCGAGTGCGAGAAATTTTGGTACTTCACTAGACGGTGATATTCACCTCCTTTTTGTTTACAGTGTCCATTTACATGCTTCCATAAAGGTTTAACCATATTATCTCAAAGACCTTTTTGATTTTAAAAAAAAAAAAAAAAACTTAGAGCCTTAATCGGATATTATCATGGTGGAATGCGGTGGTTTTGGGATTATTCTGGTGTGGCCAATGAGAAAGACAGTAATTTCAGCAAGTTTGTGTTGCAAAGAGCAGAGAAAGAAAGCAATTAACGGACGTTAGTTTGAGTTTACTATGAAAATGAATTACAGACTTTAGATGTTACTCTGTTGAGTTGGCACAATCTGAAATAAGCACCGAAGAATACTGGAGTAAAAATCACTGGACCGGATCCAGTTAATCTTTCTGCAGATCTCACCAAAGAATTCTGTTTCGCCCTCTTCGGAGTACTGATTTGTCAAAAATATTGGCATCAAGATAAGTCCACTACGTAATAGTTTTTGCAAATTGTAAATCTCAAGTTTTCTTGCTAAACGTAACTTCAGTTAATCTTTCTGCAGATCTCATTCAAGTCCAGCCATCTACTCTCTCATACTGTTTTGGGCTATAATGCTCAGTTAGTCCTGTTTCGTCCAAAAATTATGCTGTATATATAAGTAAAATATTTTTTTCGTAAATATATTGAATCTTGGACTCGCTAATTAACACAACTGAAAAATGTAGCTTATTAATGAAAGGAGTCCAAAATATCTTTCGCTTCCACCTTGCTCTAAAGTAGACAATTTTGACTTTTACTTCTAATGTAATCTCTTCTTCTTATTTTTTAACTCTTCCTTCCTCTTCTCCTAACCAAATGGTCAAATTTCTGCAGATTTATGTCATTATAATATGTAATTTGAATCATTATGAAGCAAACAAACTAATTATTAGAAAGAGAAATCCTCCCCAATGTATTCTTATGAGTATAACTTTTTTTAGATGGCTATGCTGAGCAACCCCATATTTAATAAACCTGATAAAGTTTCCCAAAAAAAGAAATGAAAAAGTAACTAGCTAATCTAGATTAATCAAGGATAATTTACATATTTGCTTGCTTAAGTTAAATCACAAAAAAGCAGCGAAGTACTTTTTCTATCACTTCTTTTTTTTTTTTTTTTGTAAATTTATTTATTTTGCTTAGTGGCTATCCCCAACCATGCATCAAAACAAAATAAAGTCCAATCCCTTTACGATGATCATGAGTTGAACAAATTAAAATGCCTTAGCGTTACACTTTAAATGTTCAATGAAACCTGAGAAAAATCATCAGATAATCCTCTTGAAGATCTCATATCAGCTTCACTTGCATAAGAAGAGTAAAAATCATCATCCCCTTCTCTCTCTTTTACTTCCTCAATTCTGTCCATTGCTTCTTTCATATCAAACCTCTTATCCATATCAAGCTCACAACAACTTAATCCTATCTTCAATAACTTCATCATTTCCCCCTCCGAATTCTTTGTTCCTCTCATGTCCTTTTCGAATACATCTACATTCGATGAATCCTCGTTAACAACAGACTGAACCCACGTTGCCAAATCCGTGTCGCTCCCCTTGCCTTGTTGCAAGAAATTAGACGGGAATTTCCCCGTTAGGATCTCGAGTATTAAAACTCCGAATGTCCATACGTCAGTTTTACGTGTGATTCGGCCGCTGTGCTTGAATTCGGGTGATTTGTATGCGATCATGTGTTCTTGAGCATGCTCTAGGTTTACAACTGGTAGTAAGGTGTAGTCTGTGAGCAATGGCTCGTAGGATTCGTTTAGTAAAACGTTGGAGGATTTGAGGTGACCGTGGGGTGCTGTTAAGCTTGGAAGCTCGTTGTAGAGGTATAATAGTCCTTTGGCTACTCCCTTTACTATTTTTAACCTAGCTGGCCAATCCAGGCTTGGTTGCCCACGAGATTTATTTCCTGATAAAAAATCAGAACGTCAACTATCACTTACATATATGTTGAAGACATAAATAAATAAATAAATGTTCTTTTTAGAAGTCTAAAGTCGTAGATTAATTAAATGGTCAAAAGATTCAATTAAATATCAGAGCAGTCAAAGATTCTGAGTTCAAGTCTAACCACCACTCGTAATCAAAGAAAGAATTTTCACGTTCATGGCCAATGATCAGAATCATATATGAGGGATGAGTTATAGATATAATTAAGTAAATAAAAGTGCGATCTTTCTAAAAAATTAATTTCTTAAATAAGACGATCATATAATTCAACATATGAGGGCTAAGTGCACGAATAGCTACTTTTAAGCCTGCTGTTTAAAATATATCCATAATTATCATGTATTTAAAGATTAGCCAATTCACCCGAACTTCAGGACTAAGTATCCTGAATTTGGAATTCAGGTCCTAACTTTTTGAGCTGCTAATGAAATTCAGGACTTAGTGTCTTGATTTCTGAACTGCTAATTTAAACTTCAGGTAATATTCAAACTTCTGGACACAATTTTCGAACTTTATGACACGATATCCTGAAGTTTGAACTTCAGGCCGTCGTATCCTAAAGTTTGAGCGAATTGGCTAATCTTTAAATACATTGTAAACTGTGGATATGTTTTAAATAACAAGCTTAAAAGTGGCTATCCGGTATCATTTCCACACATATTACAAGGGCCAATTTAGTATAGGCTTGAATCGGTTAAAAAAGGTGAGTGTAAATAGCGATTCCTCTATAGATTCATGCCCTGACCTACCTTAACTAGAGGTAAAATTTATGGAGAACAACTAATCAAGGCTCAAAATATCAATACTCCAGAGGTGCAGGTGAGGATTTCTTAATCACTTGTCATATTGCAAGGACGTATCATAATATTATATTGATCTTTAAAAAGTGTAAGAATAATTGTACGTACCATGAAGATGAACTGCAAGGCTGACATTGTTGACATATTCGGAAACCAAAAGCTTTTCCTCCTTCCTATAATAGAAAGCGACAATAGGAAGCAAGTTGTTATGGCTCAATCTGCCCAGCCTTCTCATATGCTCATGGAAATCTTCCTTGCCTACATTATTCATTTGCCTAAACCTTTTGACAACCATAACAGGTCCAGTGCTAAGTGCAGCTTTATAAGTTGATCCAAATATTCCACTTCCCAATATTTCAGCTGATGCCTTCAACAAATCTGGCAAGTCAAATTTCTCCGTATCATCTTTCAAAAATTGAATTTTTTGAGCTTGTTCAGGTCTCTTTCCGCCTTCCGGAGAACGGTCAGGAGCCACTACTTGGCCCTGTTCCATCTTATCTAGATCTGCCGAGGGCGCCTTCTGGTGAGTGGCGCCCCCGGGTGAATTATTAGCTGCCCCTGATCTTGCTTCCGTTTCAGGCGTCTGCTTGCGTTGGCGAAGGATGACAATAACAACAATAATTGCAGCTATAGCTGCCGCCACTGCTATAACCACCAATATAATTGTCCAAAGAGCTATCTTTGGTTCACTTGTGCATTTGGATAATGGCCCATCACAAAGATCATTACCTGTTTTATTAAAGGGACAAAAATGAGAATCAAATATAACTTCACGCATATATCTTTGACCAATACATTATAATCTTGATTAGAACATAATTTGGATGAAAATGAAAGGATATTTTCTAATTTAGCTCATCTGAGGAAACTTGTTGGGTACTTCTTCGAAATGTATGATGAATGGTACAAGATCATGAGATGTAAAACATGCATTAGTTAACATTTTAAGAGTGGCGAAGGAAGAATTAATAAATGCCTATAGTCCGCGATGAAGACAAGATTTTCACAATGGGAAATAAAAAGATAAAAAAAGTAAATACGCAAAGAAGTAGGAATACAATATCTAATATAGTACATAAATTTTTTTCGACCTTATATTCACATTGTAATTTTATCCGGCAAAAGAGGTTCGGTTGAACCCCTTCTGGCCTCCTAGCTCTGCCCATGCGACTATAGCATAAGGACTTACAATTGCCAAATATAATTCCACAATCTAAATGGCATTTACTTCTCATTGTAGCATGCAATGACAATTATGGCAGTTTAATTAAGAAAACAGAGGAACGAACAAGATAGTCACGGTATTGGGACTTAGGAAAAAAACAGAGACCTTGACTTTGCATCAAACAAAATAATTTAAGCTTAAGATTCATTTTAAAGTAAGACTACATGTTAATTAGCCAGAGTTAGCTAGATGATTTAAGTTTATTTAACGGACACATATCACACATTTTGTAAGTTTGGTAAATATCAGGTGTATGCAAGTTTTTGCTATGTAAAAAAAAGAAAAAATTACCTTCAAATGACGAAGGTTTGAGACTAGAAAGGCCACGAGGAATTGGACCCATAAGAGAATTGTTAGAGAAATTCATATCCATAATCCTCTCTTGATTAAAATCAGGTAATTGACCTTCAAATTTGTTATTTTCTAGCCTCAATTCCGTAAGCTTAGGCAATTGACCAAAAATGGAGGGTACTTCTCCTGTGAATTGATTGTTAGCAATATGAAGCTTCTTTAACCAATGCATCCCTTCAAAAACATTATTGTCAATTTGGCCAGAAAATTTGTTGTTTGAAAAATAAGCAGTTTTCAATCCCGCAAGTTTACTCATAATTGGCAAAGGGCCTTCGAAATTATTGTTAATGAGACTAATGGTTCTGAAATTGGCCAAATCCTTAAGAGCGTCCACATCGATTGTACCACTTAATCCCTTATTCTCCAACCGCAAACCGAAAACGAAACCATTTTCACAAATAACATTTTCCCAATTGTTGTTATCGGTCTTTTTATCGCAAGGTGGTACGTTGGGATTCCAATTGGAAAATGCGTCATTTTTCGACAAGGACTTACTGAACCTTAAGAGAATTTCCGCTTCGGAACTTCCCGAGGAGGCCGAGACAACAGCCGCGGCGAGCAACACGGTGAGGAGGAGAAGGCGGTGGCGCTGGTGCTGAAGATGATGGCGGTTGTGGTTGCTGTAACGGTAAGCCGCAGACATTGCATAGACTAGGAGTGGGGGTGCGCACACTTGTCGGTGCGCGCCCTTACAAAAGGCTGCTACAAATGAGAAATAATAATAATATGGCTTACGTTGTAAGCTGGGCATGCAAAAAAAGTTTCAACATTATCTCAAGGGAATGGGATTAATTGTGTGGGAATGCATGGGAAGCTCAAAGGGGAGAGAGAGAAAGAGAGAGAGTTTGAGAGGTGATAAGAGTGAGGTTGGAGAAATGGACAAATGGGAAGTTGGGAGCTCAAGTTGACAATGTCTTCTATGGTCTTGGCTTATTTCAGAAAACTACGCTCTGCCTTTCAACTCTAATATAATTTTAAACACTCCATTGCCTCCAAATTCTACCTAGGGATCGAGCCCAAGCCATGCCAACAAATAAGTGCCACTAGCTCGAATTAATATTAAATGAGCACAAAAAATTATTATGCTTTTATTTCTTTTCCTATCTTACAGCTTCTCGAATATATATTGTGTTCAGGGGCGTATGTAGCATCATGGTGATGGGTTCAATTGAAATCACAACATTCAATATGGAGAATAATTTATTATAAATATCTAGTAAAATTGCAAGAAATAGTAGATATATATATGAGCTTATAGCTTTAAAAATATAATGCGTTTAATGCTAATAAATTTAAAGGTTGAACCCATTGAGTTTAAATGTTGGATCCGCCTCTGATCGTGTCTAGAGACAATAGAAGCAAATCATGATATTGTTTACTCGTAAAGCATTACAGTTAATTTTGTAGCGTTGCTTATAGACACATGAATTAATTTGATCCAAGAATATAGAAAAATAAGAATAGAACTAAGGCTGGCAAGTGGGCCGGTCTTCTGGGCCAGTCCTTCACATTGAGCCCGCGAGACCAGGACCGGACCGGTCCTTGGTGGGCCTAAACGGTCCCAAACGGTCATTATTTAAAAAAATAAAAGTTTGACCATTTGGGATTTGTTTACCTTGAATATACGAGTAACAATTAAATTTGATTTGTAATTTTAAAGATACGTGATTTAATTCAATACCAATTAATAATCAAGAAATATGAAGTAGAAATGATAGAAATAAGTGAATCAAACCAGTGTTGTTTAGCAGTATCGACCTCGAGCTCACTGACCTCGAGATGGACCAAGAACAATAATATAAGAACAATAAAGAGAAAGACAGTTCTGATGAACAATGAGCCAGAAAAAGTAAGATAGTATATTCTTTGCCAATGATTAGATTATGTTACAAATGATTGGGGTGCCCTTTACATAATAGGGAAATACTAAATAAGGTACATTTCTATTTACAGTAAGGAATATTGTTGGTACAGCTGTCTAACCGCCTAGTACGGAATCGTACAATTCTATTCTGGGATTTGCGCCATGATCTTGGGGACGTGGCAGGAATCTCACTCATTCTGTTAGAAATCTATAACAACATTATTCTGAGATCGAGCGTACTCGGCTCTGGTACTTCGATCCTCGGGCCCTGCATCCTATCTTCGATCTCGAGTATGATCCATCGGGCTCGAAATCAACCTTGCCTGAACTTGGACTTAAGGCGATCTCTCGAGCCTGGGGAAATCGGGCATCCCCGATTTCGAACGTATACAGATAATCCCCGCGTTTCTTAGAATAAGATGATAAGAAACGACTTGAACCTCGATAACCCGGAGTTTCTGACGATGATGTCATTCCATAACGTAGGTGTTCAAAATGACCGAAATGTCCCGTCAGTTCGCTTCCCCAAAACATTAAATGCATGCCAGTAATGGTCGGCCACTAGCGTCGCCGAACCGTCACCCCTCATATATAAATATGGTGTTCTTTCTTTGGATTAAAAACTTTACCTCTTCATTGTATTTACTCTGCTCACTTTTTCCTCTTCATCTCCTTCTCTTCTAATTACTTTTTACTCTGGTCACCGGAAAACTTCACGCTCCCGTATAACACCACACTCTGCCACCGCCTGCATTCCTTAGTTTTAGACCTATGGCTAAAACTTTCAAAACAGTCCCCCAAAAAGAGAAAGCATCGTCTTCTTCTACTTCCCGGTCGGCCAAATCTGTGGCGCCACCGATTCTTCACGAAATCACCCCCGGCCCTTGCATGATAAAGAAGGATTTTAACATTGAAAATCCTCCAATATCCCAGGCCGATGCGAACATGTATCTCGATACATCAGTTCGATATCGAAGAAACCTCAAATCCATGAAGAAGGAGTGCGACTGGGGAGTCGAGGTCGTGGTTCAGATCCCAGGCCCCAAGGAGAGCATCACTACCCACGTGTAGGGTTTTTTAAGTCTTTACACTTATTCCTTCACACTGGGTCCCCTCAATCCGGTAGTGATCGACTTCTGCAAAACATATGAGGTCACCCTCGGTCAGATCCATCCCTCCTTTTGGCGCATCGTGATCATGCTGCGCTATTTTTCCGAAAAGGCCGAGGGTTGGAATTTACCCTCAATCATCTTATTCGGCTGTATCGGCCCCAGTTGTTTCGAGGGCTCATCAAGCTGCAACGTCGAAGAAAGAAGGCCTTCTTTGCTAGTAACGATGAAGACAAAGATCGAGGCTGGATGAGTCGATTCATCAAAGTAAGGACTTCGGATGTCATCCCCAGGGACAAAATGTCGTTCCCGGAGAGATGGAACTTTAATCGTAAGTGGAGTTCCTTAACAAATACTTCTTCATATTCTGCTTCCGTGTTCCATAATATTTTATCTTTTCCGCAGCTGTTGCTTGGACGCCTCACGCTATCCCTGACCTCGAGGAATGGGTCCGAAGTTAGCTGCCACCTCCTCGTATGATGAGCGCAAATTGCGCGATTTATCGAGGGGTAAATGGGAAACCAAGCATCATGGTAAGTTTTCTTCCCAAGCTTTGATACCTTTCTTTTACTGGTGATCTCATCTCATTCATGTTTATTTGTGCAGGCATCGAAGAGTTCTCCGAAATGAGGCCAGCCCCGCCTGGGGAAGGGACCGAGTCCCCCATTTCGAAATTGGGGAAAGAAAACAAAAGAAAGAGGGCTTCGAAGCCCAAAGATACCCAGGATGAGGCGGCCCCTACTCGGAAGCCAGGGAGAAAACTCATTCATGTGGACTTGGATTCGGCCATTCAACATCTGGAAGACGAAGAGAACAAAGGTGAAGAATCGGCGCTGGTACCCCGAACTAGGAAACCAGTCGAGGTCGCCAAGTCCTCCGAACCTGATACCATGCCTCTTGATGAAGGAACTCAGAAGAAAGACTCGGGAAAAGCCCTCGAGTCCCTTGAGATCGAGATCGCACCTCCTCCTTCAACAAATACGCCGGAGGGGACAAGTGCTGAGAGGGTCGAAACGAATTAGAGCGCCCCGAGTGAGGAGCTCGGGGCCATGACAATGGGTCACTCACTTTCTCTAGCATCTTACTCCAATGAGACAATAAAGGATGCTCGAGCTCTGCAAACACTCGACCCGAGCAAGGTCCTCGAAAAAGACCCTTTCCGGGACTGTTTCACCGGGGTTGGCAATGCTGTTGGCCTTAACGATGCATCCACCCTCTTCGAAGAGGCTCAACGTGTCCTCTCTCGGGTAAATTCTAACTTTCATTGTTGTAATTTTTCCTTTTCTTCCCTTCCTTTGACTGACATATCTTCATTTCATGTATAGGCCATCGTCAAGTTTAGAGCTGAGCTGAGCCAATGTGAGGCTGAGCTCAGGAAGGTTTCAGGTGAAGAGAAGGCCCTGAGGCTCCTCTGTAGCCAAAAGGAGGAGGAGCTTAAGGACCTTCGGGCTGAATTGGCCAAAGTTCGGAAAGAAGAGACCGAGCTAGATGAGCAGGTAACTGTGACTTTAATAGAGTATGGTCTTCTTGGGCTTGCTTCAGAGGCTAACACTTCGATGTCTCAGCTGCAACAGAAGTTGGAGATGATTGGGCAGCTCCGGGGCGAGGTTGATCAAGTTAAGTCTGACTGCCATCGATGGAAAGAGAACATGGATCGGCTCGCTGCCGATAAGGAAGCAGTTACAGCCCAACTGACCTCAGCTGAAACTCAACTCCGAGGCATTAAAGTGAAGAGTCTGGCCCAGGCCAAGAAAATCGAGGAGTTAGAGGCAGATCTTGCTAGAGCCCGGGCCGAAGCTGCACAGGCCAAGGCTGAAGTTGAGAAGACGAAGGCTACGGCTGATAAGACCATCGCCATATACTTAAGGGATGCCGAGGCTATTCAAGAGGAGCTGAGGGAGGCCTCCGATCGATTAATGATTTGGCCAAGTGCCAGGCCCGGAGGGAGACTCTCGAAGAAATCCACGGCCGAGGATTTGACCTTACTGAAGAAATAGCCCAAGCAAAGGCGCTGGAAACCGATGCCAGGTTTCTTGTTTCTTCTGATGATGAAGATCCTGTGAGTGGCTCCGAGGGCGGGGATGGTGAAGAAGGTGTCCCCGAGGAAGAGGAGGTTCACGAAGATAGAGCTGCCGAGGGAGCAGTTCCTGAGGATGTTGCTTCCGGGGATGTAACCCCAAAATAGATTAGGTTCTCCTTTTCTTTTTTGTGTTCGTGGGAATTGTAAATATACTTTGTTAAACATCTCTTATGAATATAAAGAACCCCTTTGCATTATCTTCAATTTGTGTTGAATTTCGTTTTGTCTTCATTTGTGAAACTTTTTATTGTATAACTTTAATGATCAGTCCGAATAATGGACTTCAGAACATAATAAAACCTTAGGTTTTTTATTGATCAACATAATAGTTAATCATTACTCGAGCCCAACATTTGATGTTATCGAAGCCTATAAATTATCGAGGGCTGATTTTATCGAAGCCCTTTGCAGAAGTCGGACGTCTCCGAGCCGCATTATGTCGGCCATAGCCTTTTTATATGACCGTAGTATTTAATATGGCCGTAGCCTTCGGGTATGTCTCTTGGACTTGTTTCCCGAAAACCTTTCGAACTTCTTAGAAAGGTTAGTCCCCGAGTATGTTGGCTTTGGACTTTGTATCAAGGGGGATGCCTCTTTGAGGTCTTATGAGTCAGAGTTTTCGATGACTCGGATGTGCTGACTGTCGATGACAGTCTCCGAGTATCTCGGGGTTGCATTCATGCTCTGGCTCTTGAGCCATTTCCCGTAAGATTGTAAGTGTAGAGCTCGTATAATACTATACTTCTTTGAGACACAGAGTTTTTTTGATATAAACAAAATGCTTCTTCAAATAATTGATACATGCGTACATGT